AAAGAAATAGAACAATTATTGATGAAATTCATATGGAATCACCAAAAACCCCGAATAGCCAAAGCTCTACTGAAAAAAAAAGAAGGAAATGGAGGCATAACACTCCCAGACTTCAAACTATACTACAAAGCCATAATCATCAAAACTGCATGGTATTGGAACAAGAACAGACATACAGACCAATGGAATCGAATAGAAAATCCAGAAATAAACCCACAGATTTATGGTCAACTAATCTTTGACAAAGGAGCAAAGACTATGCATTGGAGCAAAGAAAGTTTGTTCAATAAATGGTGCTGGGAAAACTGGGTTGCTACATGCAAAAGAATGAAGCTTGACCACTACCTCACACCATACACAAAAATCAACTCAAAATGGATTAAAGAACTAGACATAAGACCTGAAACCATAAAATACATAGAAGGAAATATAGGTGAAACACTACGTGATTTGCATATCAAAGACATCTTTACAGACACATCACCCAAAGCAGTGATAGTGAAGGCAAAGATAAACAGCTGGGACTACATCAAATTAAAGAGCTTCTGCACAGCAAAAGAGACAATAACAAAAACAAAGAGAAACCCCACCAACTGGGAGAACATTTTTGCACCCAACACTAATGATAAAGGACTGATCACAAAAATCTGCAAAGAGCTGATGAGACTCAGCAACAACAAAGAAAATAATCCAGTCAAAAAATGGGCAGAAGAGCTAAAAAGAAACTTCTCTGAAGAGGAAATGCAAATGGCCAACAGACATATGAAAAATGTTCAACATCACTTTCAATCAGGGAAATGCAAATCAAAACTACCATGAGATACCATCTCACACCAGTGAGAATGGCACATATTCAAAAAACTAGCAACAACAAATGTTGGCGAGGGTGTGGAGAAAAAGGAACTCTCCTGCACTGTTGGTGGGAGTGCAAACTGGTCCAACCACTATGGAGAGCTGTGTGGAGATTTCTGGACCTATTAAACATAGAGCTTCCATATGATCCAGCAATTCCACTCCTAGGTATTTACCCAAAGGACACAGAAACATCAATTCCAAAGAGCACCTGCACCCCTATGTTTATAGCAGCACTGTTTACAATAGCTAAGCTTTGGAAACAACCCAAATGCCCAAAAGTAGATGACTGGATCAAGAAGATGTGGTACATATATACCATGGAATATTACTCAGCATTCAAAAAAGATAAACACATGCAATTTGCAGCAACATGGATGGCGCTGGAAGGGATCATGCTCAGCGAAATAAGCCAAAAAGAAAAAGAAAAATACCGGATGGTCTCACTCATAGCAGGAATCTAGAAAACTTAAATAAGGGACCAGGAAAATGAATATAAGAAAGTGAAAATCAAAATCAACAAAAAACTATGAACCAGAGACACTTTTTGGGGGGCGGGGGGCGGGAGGGGAAGGATTGGGGTCAGAATGGGGCGTTTGCAATTGTATGGGGGAATATAAAAATAAAATTTAAGATAAAAAAAAAAAAAGATAAACAGCTGGGACTACATCAAATTAAAGAGCTTCTACACAGCAAAAGAGACAATAACAAAAACAAAGAGAAACCCCACCAACTGGGAGAACATTTTTGCACCCAACACTAATGATAAAGGACTGATCACAAAAATCTGCAAAGAGTTGATGAGACTCAACAACAACAAAGAAAATAACCCAGTCAAAAAATGGGCAGAAGAGCTAAAAAGAAACTTCTCTGAAGAAGAAATGCAAATGGCCAACAGACATATGAAAAAATGTTCAACATCACTTGCAATCAGGGAAATGCAAATCAAAACTACCATGAGATACCATCTTACACCAGTGAGAATGGCACATATTCAAAAAACTAGCAACAACAAATGTTGGCGAGGTTGTGGAGAAAAAGGAACTCTCCTGCACTGTTGGTGGGAATGCAAACTGGTCCAACCACTATGGAGAGCTGTGTGGAGATTTCTGGACCTACTAAACATAGAGCTTCCATATGATCCAGCAATTCCACTCCTAGGTATTTACCCAAAGGACACAGAAACATCAATTCCAAAGAGCACCTGCACCCCTATGTTTATAGCAGCACTATTTACTATAGCTAAGCTTTGGAAACAGCCCAAATGCCCAAAAATAGATGACTGGATCAAGAAGATGTGGTACATATATACCATGGAATATTACTCAGCATTCAAAAAAGATAAACACATGCAATTTGCAGCAACATGGATGGCGCTGGAAGGGATCATGCTCAGCAAAATAAGCCAAAAAGAAAAAGAAAAATACCGGATGGTCTCACTCATAGCAGGAATCTAGAAAACTTAAATAAGGGATCAGGAAAATGAATAACTATAAGAAAGTGAAAATCAAAATCAACAAAAAACTATGAACCAGAGACACTTTTTTGGGGGTGGAGGCCGGGAGGGGAGGGATTGGGGTCAGAATGGGGCATGTGCGGTTGTATGGGGGAATATAAAAATAAAATTTATTATTTAAAAAAAAAAAAAAGAAAGAAAGGTAATCCTGGCATGTATTATAGTATGTATGAACCTTGAGGACACTATACTAAGTGAAATAAAATAGTCACAAAAAGATTAAAAAAAAAAAATTTTCAGAAGTCTTTTAATCAGTGAAAGGGTCATCAAGTTCACAGCACTTTAATACAACAGCAGAAACCAGCATCAGGGCTTCAACGAGCTGCATTCCAGTGCTTTCTAAGGATATAAAGCACAAAAAGAACCAGTACCCCCAGCACAGTGCCTCTGCTGGAAATAAGCTGATGCTGGCACAGGTCCACAGGCCAATGGCTCTATGATTTTAAGAGTAAGAAACAAAGTAATGAGAATTCACCTCTTGTAAATAAACCAGATGCCACCTACCAGTTATGTACTCAGTATTAACTTTGTGGAAGCTCTAAAGAGACTCAGCATTGAGGCTCTAAGCTTCTCAAGCTACAAACCCAACTAATTAATTCACACTTATGATGAGTTTGATTTTGAAATGGTCTGTCTTAAAATAGTCTACAGAGCTGCCTGTGGAGGCATTTAGGACACAGTGTGGCTTCCCCACAAATGTGGTCACTGCATGTGCTTCTGGGGTCCAATTGTCCTCCAATTTATCCCATGTGTTTACTCAGTCATTGACCCACTCAGTAGCAACTTGGCGAGTATCCTCTAGCGCAAGTGCTTGCAGATAACATGTCCCCACCCTGAGACGCAGGAGATCAGCTTTGGAAACTGAATCCACACAAACCCTGGTGAATCCACACCATTGTTGCCATTCCATCATTACACAAAGTGTATGCTACAGCTTCTAGTTTGCAATGGCAAGGACAAATGGAAATCACGGGAATATTAAAGAGAGAATACTTTTGGTCCTTTCCCCATAATTTTAATGTTATCAAAAAGCTGCACTAAATAAGAAGAAATAAGGTAAATGATCCCTGCTATGTGCTGAGCATCTGGAGTCCCTTGCTCCTAGCTTACCTTCACTTCCTACCTTCTTACCTTCACTTCTTATGCAGGAGGTTGTATAAATACCATCATTTGGGAAACAGCTCACAGAAAAATGAGAAGGGTTCAAAACGGGGGTGGGAGGTAAAGTCTCTTGAATTGTAATACTAACAAAATGCTGTTTTTTCCACAAGCGACACATTCCCTGTGGTGTCTATCACTCAGAGTGTGGCCCAGCCAGGGTCTGGCCCACAGTCCTACAGCAACACATCCAGCCCGAACACAAACAAGCCTGGCCACGGAAACACCCAGTACCAAAGGAGAGGGACTTTTGCTGGTTTTTGAACTATCTTTCCAAGGTGGATAAATGGAGACCTGACTCTCAATCAAACACACCTCAGACCCCGCCTCCAACATTAAGAACTCTTGGTACGCCCTTGTCTGCTAGCCAAGTCGGCTGGCACTGGAAATGCAGACGTGAGGGCAGGAGCACAACTACAGTGTCTCCAAGATGGAGCAATTGCCTTGGCAACTCTCAGGCAAATTCCCTGCTTCACGCTTTCAAATACAATTTACCAATAAACTGCATGCTTGAGTCACCAACTGTAGGGGGGTGTATCTGGAAGGGAGGATGCTAAGAACCTTCCTCACTGATCTACTCTGACCCTCCATCTGTTCTTCTTCTCTTAAGGGATAGGTAGCAAAACATCTGCTCCCCCACAGCCTTATGCAGTGACTTCAGGGTGACACCGAGCAGGATCGAATGGGAAGTGTGCTGGGGAGACCACTAAGAAAGAAAGTCTCCCTGGAATCGGGAGCTGAAGATCTAGTGCAGCAGCTGGTCTAGGAACCTGGTTGTGTTGAAAATCTTGTAAAGCAACAGAAACAGTCACTCATTTTTATTGCCTACAGAGAAACTATGATTTTCACAGCCCAAAACATTCACTACCCAGCCTGTTAAAAGACACAGCTCACGGTCCCCTGGCGTGTAGATAAAAACCAACCTAATAATGGAATTTAGCCCAACAGGCATACAGAAGATCTGACTGTTGAGTATGAAGGGGAGTCCAGGGTCCCCTTTTTTAGCAACAACCAGTGCAAGGGGCTCCCCTACCACCCATGCAGTGTGGTTCATAGTTGCCTCTGGGTACTGACAGCCCTTCTCGCCTATTCTTGGCTAGTCAGGAGAGGTGTCTCCTCTGTCCCTTTTATTTAATTTTTTATAAAGATTTATTTATTTATTTATACATACAAGAGCTGGAGTACAGGCCAGAAGTGCAGGAGGGTGAGAGGATTCACCAGAGACAGAGTGGGGAACAGACCAGGCAGATGAACTGAAATACACTGCTGAGGGGAGCAGCGGATGAGGCAGGAGAGGTCTGTCGTGTCGTGGGTATCTCTGCAGCCAGCCAGGATCAAACCCTCACTTCAGAGACTGCGAACAGCTTCACAGCACTGCACTAAACCACCTGTGCCACCAGGAAAGCCCTGTCCCTTATATTTTAAATGTAAAATCTCATTTGCTTTTCACTTCAGCTTAGGCACAGATACATACCGTTTCTGGGAAGGCTGCATTAAAGTTGAAACTTTATCATCATAAAACTTCTTCATTGCAAATCTGTCAAGGGCCTGGTCAGCGCTGGGGAAGGAAAAAGAGTGAGTTAACTTCATGGAACACCTTCATGTTCCTCGGGGTGCCTGTTCTGGGTGACTGGCATCTACAAGGAATTTCATTTTTTCTATACCCGTGACATCCATTCTAGCATCTCTTCTCAGACCTCATTTTCCTCACACGAATATGTTCAAGCCAAAGTGGAAGCCAGACAGCAGGGTCTGAAACCCTGTCTGGAAGAGAAGCACCCCCATCCACGGAGTGGCTCCCAGCTCCCAGTACAACTGCCTGCCTGTGGTTTCTCACAGGGGAAGCGGGACAGCACCGCATTGAAAGATTGGTTCTACATAAAGGAGGCAGTTCCAGTGCGAAGACACAACAGTCCCAGGGATCTTGAGGAAACAGTTAAGGACACCCCATCAAATCCCAGGAGACAAGCATGGGATCCATAGGGAATGACCTGAGTGTGCTGTCAGGGAGTCAGATGCTGCCTCTGAACTTAGGGCTTCGTATTTGCTTCTGAAGTGGCTGCCACAAGCAACCCTACTTCCCAACAAACATGGACATTAAACTCTAGCTCCCTAGTGTCCTCCAGTGTGTTCAGTAGAATCTCCAGGAAACCCCACAACATGACCCATAAATACTGGAACAGGAAGAGAAAAGGTCCTAACCAAGACTTGTCTCAGCCAAAAGCTGCCCTAAAAAGCTGACATAAGAGTGCTTTCCTTAGAAGGTGCATGTACCACACCAGAAAACGAAAGGATTGCTCTCAAAGGGACAACTTGCCTCTTACATTGGTCTCAGGGGCTGGGCTGGTGCGGCTGTCACACTTTCAGGACCCCTTAGCACTGAAGAGCTAACATGTGGTGTGTCTGATTTTATCTTGGAAAGCACAAGCTCCATGTCCACCATTCACTTTCAAGCATTCCTTGTTCTGGAGTCCACTTGCTTTGCTAAGTGCTAGGAATGCTGACGCCCAGTCCTAACTGCGCCACAGCATTGTCCAAAATCACTGACCCCTCAAGGACACCAGGCTCAGGTGTCCTTTCCGGCACAGCACCCTCCCATCTGCGCAACACAGTCTCTGATGATAGCGCAGTTTGTCACCCAGGCCTTACTAGTGTGAACTCCCTGTGAGCACTTTGCTCCTGGGGATGTCATAAAAGGGGAAACAGCAGACATGGTCAAAAATGTATCCATGAGAATGTTATCCCCACAGCAGGATTTAGGGGAGACAATCATCAAAAGCAATGGGAATATCAAAGACACACTGGGAGCAACCTGGACAGGGAAACTCGACAGACACTTAAATCAGAACATACTGTTTGTGGAATGGAAAATTATGCAGCCAGGGAACCGCTGTCAGGGAACACATTTTAAGAGAGCGTTAATTTAGAAAAGCATGTTACAAAAAATATCCTGGTGTCGCTCTACTTTACTGAAAAGCACTTAATGCTGTGTCTCCTGTGGGTACCAGTAGATTAATGGCAGCTGATGCCTGAGGACCAAAGCTGTTCTAAGTGCCTTGTGTGCAGCAACACATGGAATGATAACAAGGCCCTGGAGGCACAGCCTTCATCCCTCCTCCCAGATGAGAGCTGAGGATCAGGGAGCTGCATGTCCTGGACAGACACGTCGCAGCTGAGAAATGCATTGATTATTCAGCGAAAGAGATGCTTTTAGAAAGAGGGTCAATGATGTGCTTAGAAGAATGAGGCTCTTACTCTCACTCTCTTCACAAAATGCCAGGACTGCCCACAGTGAGCAGGAATTGGTCCAGACAGAGCTGTGCTGTCAGATGCAAAAATGTGAGGGTGCTCTCTGTCCAGGCCCTGCAGGCAAAATCCTCTCTCAGACCAAATGTTTTTCACTTCATTGAGGGATTCAATGTGACCAAGAATCTCAATTTGTCTGGCACACACACAAATACTCATTATCACCAAGTAGGGATCTGATTTTCAGTAGAGTTGGGTTTCCTCCCTGGCAGGCACGAGTTCCCCAATTTGTTTCCAGAGAAAACATTGGGAAAGTTAAATTTCACTCCTTAATGATTGAAAGGAACAGTTTATCGGCTAATATGAATAGGCTTGTATTTCCTCCAAATGGAGTGGTTCATGCTTCACAAAGTAGCCATTGAAAAGAGAGGGCAAATGCAAATGTGAGGCCCATAAAGAATGATATTTTTTAAACGGGATTCAGTGTGAGTGGGGATGTGTGCCCTGAGAAGTGTGTCTGGACATACCATGTGCTGCCAGCTCAGGGAGGGCTGGAATGAGAACCCTGTGGTCTCTGGCCACCCCGCACTCACAGTGACACCTCACAGCCCATGACTCCTCTTCCACCTCCTGAGAACTGGACCAGACCTGGCTTCCCACTCTCAGAGCCTCAATATTGAGAGCAAGATGCCAAACTCCAACCATCAGTTTCCTCATCTGCAAAGGGAGAGCGAGGACACTGCCTCCTGGTTGCTGGAGAGGACTGAGAGGGAAAAAGGAAGGCATGCGAGGTGCCTCCCGGATGCCAGAGCAGGCAGACAGCACTGCGGTCATTCTCATTCACAGGGCATGGCAGTGTCCAGGGGCACAGAGCCTTCCTGCTTTTAATAACACTAATTTTGTTCGAGTGTGACAGCACTCTATATTCATGCCTCCAAGGGAGTCTTTAGTATAAATCAAACGTAACTGCGTAACTAGAGTCCAGGCACTGGGAGACAGATGGGCAGAGGTTCAGCCAAGTCCAGCCTCCAGGTCAGCACAAAAGCTGGAACATCCCCTGCCCCCCCACACGCCCCCATCCCAGAGCTCCCCACTGCCCACGACCACAAAGCCTCCCTCCTACCTGGCCGAGACATTGGTGAAGTGCATGTAGGATGATATGACCACTCCGATGCGTCCCTTTCCACCCTATAGGGGACAGAAGAAAAAGCAATTTTCCCGGAATCCCATGACAGTGATGTAATCAGAACTGGAAAGTGCTCAGTCCCTGAAGGCATGGCACAGAGCTTACAGCTTACTCTGAATGTGATTCAGCTGCATCATCCAGGACACATGCATGCTGATTTTCATTAGGGAGTTGGGTGCCCATGGCAGGAGCACATGCTACCTGGGGGGTCCATGGACTCTACTAAGGGCAGATCTGTTGAGAAGCGGATGGTCATTTACCAACAAGGCTGGAAGAAACTGGGCCGAGTACAAGCATTAGCCAGACCAATTACCCAGGTGAGAAACCTCAACAACCTTCTCAGAGACTGATAGTTTGGGGGATGTACACACAGTTCAGAGAAGTCCGAAGTAGCAGTGTGAGAGGGTGGGCCCCAGGAAAACAGGAGGTTCCAGGTTTCTGCTCCCACCCAAGGTAGGATGGAGCTGAGCAGGGAGAGAGAAGCTGGAGAGGACACTGGGGAAGGAAGAAGGATGGAGAATCAGGAGACCTGGAGGCACATAGAGCAGAGAGACATCTGAAGAAGCTATGCTTGCTTCTTGGTCCTGGACTGGTAGATACAGATGTAGGCAAGAAACTCATGGGGAGGTTAATAATAGCAGTGTTTATTTTGATTTCGCTCTTCCTGTCCCAGGCATGCTGGGCCTCTTCTGCCCCTTTCTTACAGGTCCCCACCAGGAGGTGTCTTAGACTTGTGGCAGGCTTTCAGGCCTCAGCGGTCCTGCTTTAGGTCAACCCTGTTTGGCTGAGCATTTACCCACGAGGAGATGGGTATCTTTGTGTCCTTGATTTAGAAACTATATTCTTTCCCTTTTCTGTATTGCACATTAATTGTATTAAAGTACCTTTGCATTTTAAGTCTTAACACTAGAGTATGTTTTGTCTTGATGCAACAGATGGCAGAACCTACTTAGTGTGGGCAGGTTTGGGGCTCTGGGGTGCCCCTCACCCTGCCCTGTAACAGTACAACAGCAGATTCAGCATGCTGGTAGCCTCACATTGCCAGCAACACTGAGCCTGTCCAGTTACACAGGGATCACCACCCAAGCAGGCATTCAATCCATAAACACAGACACACCAATCCAGGCAGTCTCCATGAGCCAACGTTCCCAATGCCAAGAAGGTGTCTGGAAGCATCACAGCTCTGTGACAGGCTACCCTCTCATAGAAACATCGGCTGCCACCTTCTAAAACATACTGCCAGGACCCAGAACAACAGTCAGCAAACCATAGCCCAAAGCCACCTCTGTCCCCTCAAAGAGAAAGAGTGATTTCTCTGCTTTTAAACAGTTCAAAAAAAAAAAAGTCAAAGAATCAAATTCCACACAAAACATGAAAATTCCATGAGGTTCAAATTTCAGTGTCCATTAATGTAGTGTGTGTGGAATGTGTCCATGGCGCATTATTTAGGGAGCTTAGTGGTTATCGTGACACGGCAACCACAGGTGTGAGCACTTATGGCGTGAACATGGGGCCTGAAGACTAGAATACTCCTTTATCTGGGTCTTTCAAGAAAAGGTAGGAGCCTGTGACCTAGAATCACTTGATGCCAAAGTGGCAAAGCAATCAATACACAGATTCCTAAACTTGTTCTTAAAAAGAAATGACCAAGCAAATTCAAGTCAAAATTCTGACAGACCCACAAACACGTGAATGTCTCCCAAGACCCTTGCTCTCTCTGTCCCATAAAGTGTATCAAGCATGTCAAGCATGTCAAGGGTGAGCCTCAGAGATACTGAGTACAGACACTCCATGAGCCCTTTGCAGCTGATTCCTGGCAAGTGCAGATACTAACCGCACAGCTCTGCATGTGCTTCTTATATAAACTCATCTATGTGTCCCACCACAGTACCGAGGAGGACTTGTCAGGCCCCCAACAGGTAGCCCACTTGAATAGAACCAGCTGTCTGCCACAAAGGCCTCCTACCAGCAACCTCACATCACTTAACTATCCTAATTCAAATAGCCAGAAAAGTGAACATAATGTGAGTAACAGTGCATTTTTCTTTTTTGTAAAGGTACTTTCCACACAATGACAAAAACACCGATTCAAAAAAGGGGCAAAGATGTGCGTAGACACTTCTCCAAAGAAGACATTTAGAGATGTCCAACAGGCACATGGAAGAAATGTTCATCATCACTTATTACTGGGGAATGCAAATCCAGACTACAGTGGCATACCATCTTACACCTGTGAGAATGGCCCAAATCGAAAAGACAAGAAACAAAAGTTGTTGATGAGGGTGAGAAGATTAAAGAACACTCCTAAACTGCTGGTTGGGTGTGTAAATTGGCACAGCCTATACAGGAAAGAGTATAGAGGCATCCATGTGATCTGATCATTCCACTTCCAGGTACTTATCCAAAGAAGAAAAACACAAATTCAAAAATATATATGCATTTCCATGTTTGTTGCAGCACTATATACAATAGTCAAACTATGCAAACAACCTAAATGCCCATCAAGAGATGTCTGAATAAAGAAGATGTGGTATAGGCGTTCGGCCTACAACCCAGCACCATATCTTCAACACCTTCATCTCCCTGATCAACACCACCTCCACCCCATCTATTTCCAGCCCTTAATGCTGCCAGAGGAATTCCAAAAGTATCCAGCCATCAATCAAATTGGTATTGTTCAAGAAGATGTGAAGGGTGGTCTGATCCACCTAATGGGAAAGGAGAGGGCTATCACCAACTCTGACTTTGAAAGTGAACATCCCCATGTTTTCAATTCTGCAGCAAGCATAACAAATCACCTCCCTATAGAATGATTGCTGGAAAAGTCTAATACTGTAAAGTAAATACGAGTACAAATCCTGTGTACAAGGACACATATTTCCCTTCTTAAGTCTCATAAGCACCCTGGAACAAATCACACTGTTAGGAAGGTTTTCATGATTCAGTTTACTTTCTAAAAACGACTCTCCCATCTGGCTATGTTTAGACATCTACTTATTCTTCAGCCTGTACTACTTACCCACAGAGATGAGATATGCTTACAGGTAACCAGCAGACTTGGGAAGATCTAAGTCTATTTTGTCATCTTTCAAATAGGAAATTTCTGTGGAAAACCATTAGGTTGAGTAACCTCTTTGAAAATGTTCAAGTTGATAAAACTCTTTGAAGACAAGATATCTCATAATTTTAAAGAAAAAATAGTTCAGCTTAACTATTTTTGTGGAAGGTTGCTGCATGTTGGAAGAAGATGTATACGAAGCATGTCAAGTGACGAGGAATGCGTGTGATGGAAAGCCAGCTGAATTAACAGAAGTCAAAATGTGTAGATTCAAATTATTATTTCTACTTCACCATGATGTGCAGAGTTATTTTGTAATTCCTTTCATGTGATCTCATTAAATTGCATCAAGAAATCCTATTTGGGGCCTCCCCTGGTGGCGCAGCAGTTGAACGCTGGATTGCGAAGCTGCCCACAGCGTCTGTAGCACCGGTTCAATCCCCGGCTGCCGGCGAGGGTCCCACATGGCACGCAGACCTCTCCGGCCGCCCGCTGCTCCTCTCAGCAGTGTACCTTGGTTCTTCTTCCTGTTCTGCTGCCTGCTCTGGCTCTGGTGAATTCTCTCACCCTCCCGCGCTTCTGACTGTACCCAGTGCTTGTATAAATAAATAAATCTTAAAAAGAAAAAAAAAGAAATCCTATTTGATGAGATTGTATTCCACTGTAGATATTTGTGTGGTATTTGTCCACTCACATTCCAGTAAGAAATTTAAAGGTAAATAGCAAATGTTTTGAGACAAATGTTTATTAAATTTTGATACCTCATCACATGCTGCAAAGATGAAGGTGAGAATACTTATTTCTTTCTTGAAATTATATACTTTTAAAAATACATATTTTCATTTATAGCTTTCCAAGAGTGCCTTGTACATTACTTTAGACTTTCTCTAAATGAACTGTCTGATGACATTTTATCAGTGGGAACTGTGAGTGTGTTTAACAGAAAACTGGTCCAATTATGTAACTACTGTCAAAAAGAAATGAGATTGATAGTTCCCAAACCAAAGTTATCATTTTTGATTGGCAGTCCCTAACATTTAATTGATTGATGGAGAGGAGGAGGAGGAAGAAAAAGAAGAGAAAGAGGAAGAGGAAGAAGGAAATGGAAGAAGAGAAGAAATTGTATATATACTCAATAGAACACTACTCAGGTATAAAAAATGAGGAAATCCTGCCATTTGCACAACATCAATGGAACTTGAGGTCATTATGCTAAGTGAAATAAGCCAGAAGGAGAAAGAGAAACACCAGATTATTTCACTTAGATGTCAAATATAAAGAAACAAAACAGGGCATCCCCAGTGGCGTAGTGGTTGAGCGCTGGGTTAGCTGCCCACAGCCTCTGCAGCGCCTGTTTGATCCCTGGCAGCCGGGTGAGGGTCCCACATGGCGTGCAGACCTCTCCTACCACCCGCTGCTTCCCTCAGCAGTGTACCTCGTCAGTCTACCTGTTCTGTTTCCCGCTCTGGTTCTGGTGAAGTCTCTTACTCCCCCGCGCTTCTGACTGTACCCAGTGCTTGCATAAATAAATCTTAAAAAAAAAAAAGAGAGAGACCCCCCCCTCCTAAAAAAGACAAACAAAACAAATGAAAAGACAAAACAAACAAACAAAAAATCGATGGATTCTGACTGTAGAACCCATGCTACCAGAGGGAAGATAGGCTGGGAGCAAAGGGTGGGTGGTCCAGCGGACTGTGATGAGAGGTTTCTGGTGCTTTGCTGGTGGGAATAATGTGGCCATAGGCATTTGAAGAAGGGTGAATATAGTGTAAATGAGTAAATTAGGCTTTCTTCTGCCCTCTTGCTACTTGTGTGTTTGCACAGGGTCGAGAGGCATGTGTGTGGGGCAGTGTGTCTATGTTTATGGACACCTGGGCTCAGGGAACACGTTTATGCACATGTGTTAAGTGCAGGCACCTGTGCCAGGAGGCTGCAGACAAAAGTGCCATGTCACTCATTGACAAGACAGCAACGGGATCACTCTGAGGCGAGACGGCGAGATGATGCAAGACTGAGAACACCAGAGGGAGGCCAGAGAGAGCGCGAAAGTCTCATGGGGGCTTGGGAAGCTCAGCTGCCTGCCCGCCTCCCAGCCGCCCCTGCCTTGCCTGCCTACCTGGATCACCTGCCCTATGCCCAACTGTAAGGTAAGTGAATTTGTCAGGCTTTCACATTGCTGGTCTCTGTGGCTATCACCCACGGCTTTGAATGCAGAAGGCTCTTGGGAGCATGGTTGAGGGGCACACATGCCTGACTGTGAACACCTAGAGTATGGTGTGAGCATGCTTGGGTGTGACACCAGAGCCTGGAGGAGGATATAAGGGCATCATCACAGAGAACCACTATGGCGGGAGGGCTACCAGGGACCACCGACAGCTGTGAGAGGAAGAGACCGCCAGAGAAAGCCCAGAGGAAAAGCATATAGACATTCGTAGATTGCCCAAGTTGCTATCTCCCTACTGACTTATTTCCCTTGTGTACTATTAGAAAAACCTGTGGAGATGATGCCAAGGGCTCTAAGGTTCTCTTTTAAGCTGCCTGAATGGATGGTGAACCTACCTGGCCTGGGTGGTTGCAAAACACCAACAACCCTCCCTGCCTGGTGTGCTAGTGTTTCCTGCTCCAAAACTAAAGGCCTGCAAAATCTATGTAGGGTCTGGGACTCTCTTTATCTATCTGCCTAAATTGACAGTGAACCTGCCCTGTGCATGCTTACACTACAGTGAGCCTGCACTCCTAAACATACACAGTGTTATAAACCAATATTATCTCAATTAAAAAAATACTTATCTGTGAGAAACTAAAACACACACAAGTGAAAGGATGCACTCTAATTAGTATTCTTCATTAGTTTCAGCAAAGCAGGGACCTCATTTGTGTAAGCTTTGAAACCAAAATCTGGGAGGTTGAATGATCCTTCTTTTTAAAGGATGATTATAGACATCTAACCACCAGGTGGACTTAGGGTGAAAGGAGGTCCCATAGAATCTGCAAGTGGACGGTGCTCACCCTGCAGTGAATGACCACGACATGCTGGGGATCACTGTTCAGCCAGGATTCCTGGGCCTTGCAGATGGTGCACAGCTTGTCCAGGGGTGGTGCGTGCAGCTCAGGCCAGCCTACATCCAAAATCTGCAACAAGAGAGAAGCTGCCTGAGTTTCAATTTCTGCAGCCAACTCGTGATGACAATTTTTAATTTACTAACATATTTCATTTGAGAGTAAAGAATCATGATGCACATTCCTTTCCTAAAACTTAATGGGCACTATGGTCAGGATCCTTTACTGGAAAAAAGACATATTAAGTATCATGTGGCCCCTGGGAGATATCTGTTTCCAGGTCTTATCTGCTTTTCTGCAGCTGGAATGACAACTCTAGAAAGGACTTCCAGGAGCTGCTAATAATGCAAGGATTGGAAAGGAAGGGAGGTACAGGAATCTGGCAAGATCTGAAACAGGACTTCTTGGCCCCAAATGCTGCCAAAATTCCTCTATTCAGACTAAAACTGCATTTGGGAAAAGGTAGAAGGTCATCCCTGCCCTACACATGAGCAGAGAGTGTCTCAGATACAAAAGTCTGTTGCATGTGCTTGGGAGAAATAATTATTCCAAAAGGAGGAAAATCTTTCAACCCTGATTATAATTCATGCACAAAGAAAATCACCATCACGTGACCAGGAAAACAGCAAAACTATGCATACAAATAAGCAATTCTGAGCACCCACATCCCTGGTTCCAGAACCTGTAGCAGCCATGCAATGGTGCTACCTTTCTTTTTTATTTTCCCTTTTAAGGGGAAGGGGAAGCAAAGTTTATCATAAAAGCAATAAATACAGTGTAGGGCCTCCCTGGTGGCACAGGTGGTTGAGCACAGCGCTGTGAAGCTGTCCACAGCCTCTGCAGTGCTGGTTTGATCCCCACCGGCCTCAGAGCAACCCACATGATGAGCAGACCTCTCCTGTCTCACCGGCTGCTCCCCTCAGCAGTGTATTTTGGCCCATCTGCCTGTTCTGTTCCCCACTCTGTCTCTGGTGAATCCTCTCACCCTCCCACACAATCTGGTCTGTACCCTGGTTCTTGCATAAATAAAAATAAATTTTAATAGATAGATAGATAGATACAATGTAAAATGATGGAAAACTCAGAAAACTGGCAGGAAGCAGGGAGAAAGAAAAGTACACAGCCCTCCCACCCCCCAGCTAATGACTAACACCCTGATGGGTCCCTTAGATGCGGCTACATCTGCACAGTTGACACGGTGCTGCATTAGCTAGCACCCTGTGCTACTATTTTTTATTCTAATGGTGGCAAAATATTCTAACATATGGAATACATACAGTTGATCCTTGAACAATGTGCTTAGGGGCGCCTACTCCCCTCACAGTACTACTTTTGACTCTCCCCAAAATTATTACTAACAGCCTGCTATAGACTAGAAGCTTTGCCAAAACATAAACAGTCAGTTGACACATTATTTTGCATGTTTTATTTTATTTCTAAAGTAAGTTAGAGAAAAGAAAATGTTAAGAAAATCATAAAGAAAAGCTAAATTCTGTAAAAACACTGGAGGCTTTTTTTTTTTTTTAAGGAAAATACATTTGCAGTAGTATGCTATATTTATCAATACTGTAAATTGATGCCATCTGTTTATAAGAAAATCCACATGTAAGTGAACCCACAAATAAAACCCATGTTTGTTCAAGGGTCGACTGTGTGGTGTGTGTGTACACATGTATGCACTATACACACACATATATTAGTGACATATACACATATATATCAAATGGTATATATACCATAACTTATACAGTCTTAAAATTTTCCCCTAAATTGTTGTCATAAGGCAGTAATGGGTCGGGGGAAAGGTGGAAAAAGAGAGATCCTTGTAGCAGAAATGTTCTGTGGTGCTGGGGTGGACACACAAACTACATACAAAGAACCCTCCATCCCCAGAACCCTCCATCCCCACGCACCACATGTACACACACAACACACAAACACACACACTCACACAGGCTACATGTAAACCCATGGTTGAATGAGGTCTGTGGGTTGGGCCAATGTCAAGTTTCTGGCATTAATATTTTACTATTAATTATGCAAATATTTATCACTCGGGAGACTAGGTCAGAGGTCCAGGGAAATCGTGCTCTATTATTTTTGTAACTTCCTGTGAATCCATAATTATTTCAAATTTAAAAAAGCTTAATTTAAATAGGAACCCTTGGTTATGACCTGTTCTAATAACTTAAATGCATCCTACAAAAATTCGAAGTGTGGGGAATATAACCAAGATGAAAATACATACATTGTGCAAAAATGAAAAATGATGTAAAAATACATAAAATAAAATTAAAATTAAATAAAATTTGAAGCAACTACCTCTGGAGGAGAAGCAACAAAACCAAAACATAAAGGCAAAGTTCATACCTTTGGGTTGAGCTTTGTCAGGTCAAATCTCTTTTCTGAAAGGTTTAATACCTGCAAAGGGGAAATGAAATACTATTAGATGAATCATTATCTTTGGAGATCAAAGAGAAAACACAATTGCATTTCACAGGGCACTTGCCTCCAAGTTAAGAGGATTACAAAAGATTGAAATGTATAGAAATGTAACTGCATGGAATAAAGAACAAACAAAATGAAACAAATACACAAGAGTGGTACAGGGACTCCTATGGGTCTAGCCTTGCCTCAGAAAGCACAGGCTTCCTTGGAAAAAGGGGAACACAACTGTCATGGGCCACCTGCCGTGTTCACGCAAAAGTAGAGGTGCCAGTAAATCCTGATGTGCCTCTAGTAGAGACAGGCAACGTTGGGGGAGCAAGGGGCCTGAAAGGTTCATCCAGGTCCTTCTTACTTTAGAGAGCAGACATTGAAGATACAGAGAGAGGCTTGTGCAGGTTGTGAAGCACAAGCCAATTTAGTATAGGGGGAAAGGGAGCTGCCTCTGCTCTGACACGGTTGCCATACAGGCTGCCTCCTGACGCAGGAAACGTGCACCCCACCAGAAAGATCAGGCCCCACACCCTCTGCCTCAGAAGACACATCCCACAGGATGCCTCAGTTATGGTCGGTGGTTTGGGGAGCTCTTCTCTCTCCACATTCAATTATCAGAAGTCACAATTGGGATGCACATGGGGAAGAGGACAGCTAACTCCAGGAGTCTCAGCTCAGAATCCGTACAGGAGACACATGGCTCTCTTTAGATTTTTCAAAAGGTCTCTGTCTCAAAACATATAAGGGCCCTTGCTCTCCCCATGTTACAGGGGTCTCTAGACCCAACAAAGGTCCCAAACAGCATGAATGACAGAACTGCTCCAACCCCAGTCCAGTGCTATTTAGGCCCCCTCACTGGGTCTCTGGGGAGTGCGAGCAAGGGAGGAGAGAGGGCATGTGAAGGAGAATGAGGCAGCAGCCACCTGGCCATGCATCAGGGAACCTCTCCTGCAGGGCAGGTAATCAGTGAGAAGGGAAGTCGCCCAGAGACATGGTGCCCTAAGACCGGACAGGATGATCTTGGACATTCATTCCACTCTCTGCTTGCAACCAGGTCCAGAGCAGAGGATCCAGCCCAATCAGATACTCCTGCAAGGTGACTGGGGCTGAGCACAGGCCTGCTCCACCTGCTCCAGCCCTTCAGTCATCTGAGAGGACTTATAGGATGACAATAAGGACCTTGTTGTATAGTAAAGATTAGCTGCTTTAATGAAGATAAAGAGGCCATACAGCACAGCTCAGAGAGGTGCCAAGGAGTGTAATTTAGCTCATATAATGATCATCATACAGGAAGAGTGAGCAGGGCCACCCCACCTCCACTGGGCTGCATCCCAGGTAGGAAAGGCACACATCAGAGAAGAATCGGAGAGATGCCGCTTTCTACACTGTTCCTCAAATCCAGACTCCCTGTCCCATTTCATTCTTGCGTTTCAAAAAATGGAGCATCCACCAGTCTCCAGGGGGCCACTGGCTCCTGGCACAGCTATCACTGCCCTGGTTTATTTCAGCTGAGAGACAAAACTGGGCTTTTGTGGCAGGATGCTGGCCTCCAGCATGGGGAGGCTGGCCAGAGTCTGCCTCAGTACTGGAAAGCCAGCGACATGGACGGGGGCCTCCATTTAGAGCGGACAGGGCCAGCGTCATCACAGGGATAACTGCTTTCCTTCTGTGCTGCCTAAGAGCAGTAGACACTTTGCAAGGGAGCAGAAGAGTCTAATCACTGCGCTGTGGGGTCATCACCCCTACAAATGCTCCCAGAGGCGCCAGTCTCATGGGGTAGAAGTATTCTCACTTCAGACACCACCACCCAACAGACACAATGCCTTCTGGAAGTTCCATCAGACTCAGCAGCATCTACCTCCTCACACTGTGTGCTCTCAGTGTCCTCAGTGTCCTCGCAGTCCCTCCCCTCAGTTTCTCTCACTATTCACACTCAAAGATGTCCCCACTCACCAGGTAGTTGTCCCCATGTTTGGACCTCAGCATGCGCGTCACCTCCTCCAGGTTGTGCAGGTAGGACTCCTCAGAGCACCCAGCTGGGAAGGACACGGCGATGATGCGCTCAGTGATGTAGGTAAGGTCCAGCTCGTGGTCCTCCATGGTGGGGCTCAGCGCTGGTGGCCTAGAGAAAAGACAATGGTCAGGAGGGGCTGTGACACAGGTAGGGAGGTGAAGGGCCTCATCTCTGGGCCACATGGAATGGACTACACGCATCAGGAGATTCACTCTGTGGTGAATACAAGCTACCAGCCAGGAGCAAAGAGAGGAAGAGGTTGGTAGCCGTGTCCAGGGGCAGAGCAGTACCTGCGAGGGGAGAGCCTATTCCCAGGCTGGGTATCAGTGAGTACCAGTCAGCAATAAGAAGTGCCTTTGGGGACGGGTCCTGGTGAAAGCAGTCAGGGCCAGAGGACAAGCAACTCTTTTCTGTATGTAGCATTCAGGGAAGGTATGAAGGCAAGAGGGCCAGGGAGGAGGTGGCCCGACCCTGGACAGAGAAGGAACTGGGAAGGAATTTCAGCAACTGCACAATTACAGTGCACATCCCCGTGGAGGAAGGGAGGGCTATGTGTGAGCTGGAGAGACACACAATGAACCCAGGCATGCCGGATGAGGGCAGGAGTCAGTGAAAGTGTGGGGATAAAGGAGGACAGAAATGCCAAGCAGATGCAGCCAGCAGGTGGAAGGCCTATGACATGTGGGCACACCTGGGGCCCAGGGAGCCAAGACCATGCCTACAAGAGGCAACTTTCCATGTTTGCTTCCCTCATCTAAGACCACACTGTGGGGAAATTGCCTTCCCTGGATGCAGGGATGATGGGATAAAAAGAAACCATCCATACACCGAGGGCGACAGCCTCAATGAAGCAGGAGGAATGTGTGACTTTCATGGGACAAGGTTTCCATTGTCCAAAGCATCGCCACCAGCTTTAGGGATTTGTGGTGATTGTTTAACACCCCTACTATGTGTTTCCTTTTCTTTCCTTACTGTTGAAAATTTTCAAAAAATAAGAAATAGTGTAAATAATCTCCCAGTACCCATCATTCAACTTCAAAACTATCAACAAAAGCCTACCTTTTCCATCAATACCCCATTTCCTTCTCCACTTCAACTGCCTCAAAGAAACCCCAGATATTATATCATTTCATTTAGAAACATCTTAGTACATATTTCTAAAAGATAGACACTTTTAAAAAATGCAATATTATCACACCTAGAAGATACAACGTCATCAGATATCCAGTATCATAGATTTATGTTTTGCTGCTCATTTATTAAAATCAGGGTCCAAATAGTTTCTATGGTTGAGTTTGTTTTCTCTGTCTTATTCATCAGACATGGATACAAAAGGACCTTGATCACTTTTAAAACTCAGATTCTTTTGCTTGCTGATATAAAAATAAATGAATAACATGACTTCCAGGCCAGTGAAAGTCCTCCTCCAAAGACATCCATGCGTCAGCGCCTCTGGCCCTCCCTCCCAACAGAGGCCAGCACAGCACATTCCACATACGTTGGAACCTTCCCGCAAATGGCTGGACTTTCACAGTCAAGCCATGACATGTAATTATTTATCGACAGACCACCACTCTTTCCACCATCTGGGTTTCTAATGCCAAGATAATGGCATGAACATGGTATGTATTACCATCCAGCATTTATTTTGAGAATCGAAAAATAATTACAGCTTACTACAGAATCAAGTAACACCATATCCAGGTTTCCTCTGAGGGCAAACCCAAAGCCAGAGACCAGGAAGGAAGCATGTGACTGTCACTCACCTGGATGGCTTATCACAGCAGAGAGACGTGGACACTGAGGAAACCTCCAGTACCTGCAAATGACAAATACGGGTCATCTGACATCTCCATGTTCTGCTAGTCACATGAGGCCAACCCCAGAGGAGGAACAACAGAAGCTGTTCTGGTTCAGTCATAAATGGTAAGCCAAACACCCTGATCACTGCCTCTGCTTACCACCTGGGAGGGTCTCTGCACATCAGGGTACCTGGGCCCCGGGACTTCAGACCCCAAGTGATACAGAGCCACTCACCAGTAGCAGGCCAGGGTGCCAGCGGGCCCGGGCAGGACAGAGGGACAACCCTCATCATGGCAAGGTGGACAGACCCCCACATGTGTACATGCTTGTCGGGTACAAGAGAGGTGTTCAATCAATGTTGCCCTTGTTACTACTATTATTGTTTGTATTTCCTTGGAAGAACCAAACAATGACTGAGAAAATTCTCTACTCTACCTGCTCTTTCTTTTTAAAGCCTATCCAACAGGGAGGATAGATGTTATGTTATAATTACTTTATAGTGGACAAAACCCTCTGCTCATGTGTGTGTGAGTGACAGTGTGTGAGCAGGTGTGAGTGTGTGATGGAGTGTTATGTTATCTATTGATAAAAAAGTTGCCTATTACACTATTCCCAGAGATGCAGCAAGTAACTCTGTGGTAGAAACTACCTCCCATATTTCAGAAGGGTAAAACTGAGGCTCAGAGAAGTGAGAGGTCTTGTGAAAGCTGGCCCAGAAAGGAGGAGAGACCCAGAGGTCCCAGACACTGCTTTCTGAAGGCCCTTCCCACCACACAGCTGCAGTCCCTTGCTTTGTCCCTAGGGGGGCCCCTACCGGCTCCATCCCTGGACCCTGCTGTGTGGATTTTCCTGGGTACACACTGGGTGGATGACACTCAGTGACCATGCAGCAGGATTCAAGACCCCTGGCTCTCCTGTTGCTCCCCCACAATCCTGGACCTCAGGATCCCCTTTTCAAACAAAACCTGACATCCCTGACTTCACCTAAGGTGCCACTTGGGCACCTGACTCCTTGTGGCTCCCAGAGTGTAAAACAAAGTGACAGAAAGTAAATACCAAAGGAAATCACACTGACATGATGCCTAGACCAACTTCAATCCTCAGAGGTCTGGTCTCCACCCACAGGAGGGAGGTTAAGACCTAGTCCAGGTTCTCTCTAAGCACAGCCATGTTGAGAGCCCACTCGGGTCAGCAGGCAGGGTTTAAACAGGCATCCACACCTGCTAGCTAGTTCTCCCTGGCCAAGCCCCTTGTCTCCTCTCACAGAGGCAGCTGGGGTTCAGCGAGATGATTCTCATCACATTAAAACCAGAACTGGCGCGGGAAGGCAGCCCCTGTGGCTGAACAAGCCTGGACCAAGAACAGCCCTTTAGGCAGACTTTCAACACCACCCTCTGCACCCTGTGCCTACACTGTTAGGGAAGCGCCACCATGATTCTGCTGATCTCTCCAAAATCCTGTACCAAACTTTAACATCTCAGATCAGAGGAACTCCAAACAATGAGGTGTTTTCTTTTTTTTAAGGTTTTGTTGAAATACAGACTGATTCAACATTTTAGAAGAGAGCCCGCCTGTATGTATGAAAAGCATTTAAAAGGTGCAAAGAGTGTGGCTTAGCTATGTGAAGAAATTAGTAGAAGAGTAGAAGTCCACACTATTATTTATTTAACAGCTAAAAAATAAACAATAGCCTAAAAGTTCAGCCATATGTCTGGATTAAACTAGGTAAAGTTGTCTAAGAGGAAATGCATTGCAGAGGGCAGTGGGGGTGCTGGCAGGAAAGATACCTGGGAAGCAGGACACAAACAGCATCGAAGGCCAGTGTCATGGAAGTAGAGGTGTATCTCTCTCACACACACACACCTGCACGAACGTCTAGCCAGAATGAAGACCGATTAGGCAGTAGTTTATTTCTAGAATGTTCTATTACCTTTTTTCCTTATTTTTTCTTCCATGTGCATTTTTCCCTTTTCTAGCTCAAACATTTACTTCTGCTACAAGAGAGAGAAAGTTTAATGTTCCCAGAGTCAGCACAGAAGATCAGAAGTCAGGAGGCATCAGCCCCCACAATCCCAGAGGAGCTCTTCCTGCTGGCCACTGCCAGTGATGCCCTCCTGAATGGCAGGCAATAAGGGGGCCACCTTTGGGGCTGGTGGACATCCTGGCACTGGACCCTCCCTTGCCCGCCTGGAGTCGCTGTTAGCAGCTGCAGTGGCTGAAGTGGGGCCCCCACCCTTTGCCACACCAGGTCACAGCCCTTATCATGGTCCTAGCAGCCCTTTCTCCTGGTGACTGCCTAACCACTTGGATTCGATCACCAAAGGAGGTGGCTCCATAGTCATAAACTGCACCCCACCCCCAACACAATGTTGGGCCCTGCCAGGTTTTCAGTCAACCAGGTGATTCTAATCCAGTGTTTGAGCCCCTCCCCCACACCCAAGCCTGCCCTCATGCCCACGCAGGAGGCACACTTTGCCATTAAGTCTCTTTAACTCAGCCAGCTTTTATCTTTCATTACCATGAGTGCTTTGTCATGCACACAATATATTAGCAAAGTGCGACAATACAGAATTTATAAAGAAATAAGTACATTATGTCACGCTGTTTTCTGTTTTCGAGTCCACTGATTTACAATTAAACACAAATCTGTCTTAGCCCTAGGGGTGTGAAGTTAAAGCCGTGTGGAGACCACTACCCCAAATACCAACCAGCACAAAAGGACTTGATTTTGTTGTTCGGGATTTCCTAAACTTTGCTGCATTTCCACTAAGAAAGGTACAAATTCTGGCCCAATATGTTGTGTAAACAATCAGTGACAAAGCAAAGCAAAAGTAGAGCTGGTCAGCCATGCCCTGAGGGGTGGGAAGCACAGGGCAGGCCCAGCCCTTCATGCTGAGTGCAGTGTGGATGGGACTTCCAGCCCTCCACTGTGATTGAGGGGACTCCCCATGGTCACTCTGAGTTTCCAGGAGGCAGCAGAGTCTCCTCTCAAAGCCCCAGTCTATCTGTACCCTCTCTCCTCCTGACTTGAAGGATCACAGGAATCCTAGAATCAGCACATGGGCTCAGACACCACATTGCTGGCAGCCTCTGGCCTCAAGAAACACTGGTCCATGGCCTCAGGAAACACTGGTCCCCAGGGTTACGATAAGTAAGGCTGGGGCAGGATCTGTCTGGGCAACATCAGTGTCTGTGCAGCTGCCCCAAAGTCCACTGCTTCAGAGGATTCCTGGCCAGCCTTCACACCCCCAAGTGGTGCTCAGCTCCAGCTCCCTTCTAAGCATGAATGTTAATAGAGATGATTCACAGACAGAAAGACGGATATTAGATGACTGATAGATGGTACATTGCTAGGTGACTGATAAGATACATGAGTAGAAGACAGCTAAGAAGTAAAATAAATACATATATAAATAAGTAAATAAATACATATACACAAACATACCTATATACATAAACTAGTCAAAGGGCCGGGTGTCAGGCTATGTTTCCATATTTCTCAGTTTCACCTGCAGCCAATGCCTATTCAGACAAGTAACACACGCTGAGAACGATCAGGTGATTCATATGTGTAAATCTGTCACTAGGGAGTGAACTTCTTAAAAGCAAGGATCTTAAAACTTTTCAGATCTGCTCCCCCCAACCCATCACCTAACCTGCTAAGGCATGATGGGCCAGAACCTCCCAGCACCAACTGCAGGGAACCATGAATGGGTTGTGGGAAGTGGCGTGGGGTGAGGGGTCCTGTGAAGGGAGGGGTTCAACTGGGGGTTCCGCCAGTGCAGAGGTAGGGCTATCTGCGTGCCAGGAAGCAAAAGGGAATTGAAGAAGCCATAACAAGTGCAGAGAAGGACTGAAGAGGGAGAGGGGGAGAGGTGGCTGAAGAAAGGATTCCCATCAGTCCAGGGGCCCAAGAGGCTGGAAAGAAAGCCAGCCCTGCACCCTGTTCCCCAACTCCTGCCCCTCACCCCGTTGTAGCCGGTCATGCCTCAGGAAGGAGGACAGGGAGCATGAACCACACCAGGGCACATTGTGTTCCATCCATACCATTCTGGAAGAGCAGGGAGACCCCATAACTGGTTGACTGGTTGCTCCAGTGAGACTCAGTAAGTACTCGATTATGCTTTCTTCACAAATTGAGAAATTTGGTTTTGGAACACACACATACACACACACACACACACACACACACAACCAGAATCACACAGAGAAGGTATATTAATAAACTTCTGACATGAACACTGTGGACTCTCTATTTCTAGCCCCCAGTGGTCCACACCCAATCCTGCCTGGTCATTCCCTATGTCAGACAAAAATCACTGATGCTGGAAACCTTTTCCTGGGGGAACTAGTGCAGCCCAAAGTCAAGGAAGGCAGAAGAAGCACCTTCTAAGCCAACTTCTGAGATGTGGCATGCACTGAAATTCCCCAAAGGGGAACATTTTCATTCAGGGGCTACATTTGGAACCAAGCAGATGATATGCTAGGATCAGACAGGTCTAGAAGTCCCTGGGTTGCCCAGGAAGCTCGGCTATGCCCTCACAAGACAAGAGGCACCCAAACCCTCAGGAAGGAGCATGACCTTTCCACAACCCCACACTCGTCAGGGCGGGGAAGGGAATCTGCTGTCTCAGTGTCTTCACTCGAAAGCACAGAATATGCTCCTTGGGTTCACACAAGGAAGTCCCCTTATACATCACAGCACATTTCATGGCTTAAGGATGATAGAGAAACTTATTCATAGTTTAACAAAGAGAAACCCTGTATCCTAATCTCATAGGAGAAGTGTAAGAAAACCTCTCTGTGACCTCAAGCCTCCAAATCTGTGCTGAAAATTCCTTTTCCTTTGTGTTTTGCAAGAAAGAGGGTTGTCCACCCACCTCCTGGGGCAGTCTCTAGGGGCCATGGGCTCCAGGACCCACCACTCTTTAGTGACCAAGGCGACATCCCAAGGTAACAGCGAGGTGCTTTCTGCCTTCTCTCCTGGCCTCCAGGTGGTACAGCCGATCTCCACCC